TAAGTAGGAAAAAATAAGCATTATTTGTGGATAATTTTGTCAATGTTCACTCAAAAAGTTGCATTAGCTCAGATTAATGGAGCCTACATCAATCAAATTAAAAAAGAAATACAAAACATGTGCTAACTGATAGAAAACAAGTTGATAAACCTTATTTTCAGTGTGGAAGTAAGCTGTTTTCTGTGAGTGTGCAAGACTTCTACTTCATTAAACGCTATTGGGAAATAACAAGAAGAATAACAAAGTGCAGTAAATAGTAAAATTATTATTGTTACAAACCAGTGTGTTTATAATTAAGACAATATATTAAAATACTACGGTAAAAAACTACAGTTTGCAGTTTCAACCAGAATAATGATCTGTTTTGTACAGCTAAAAATACGCAAAAAAATCTGCAAATTTACGATGGCTGTGGCTGTTCTTAGGTGAAAAAATAAGGTGGATGGAGTGGTGCAGATATGACATAAGAGCCTGGAAGGCTAATTCACCGCTGGTTCCTTAGGCAGTTTTCCTACGGGGTTTTATAATGGGGGGTTTCAATTTATGAGAAAAATAAAGCCTGTGGTAAAAAATAACTTTGATACTTTGATGTTTTGTTCTACAACGTAAACTGCACACACCCATACCAAAAATGTAAATTTTGCAGTTATGTTAATTTTGAAAATGTATGTTTCTAAAAAGTAACTAGATAAGACAGTTTGGGATGTTAGTGAGTGCAGTTTATGTTGTAGAACAAAACGTCAAAGTATCGTCAAGTTATGTTTACCACAGGCTTTATTTTTCTCATAAATTGAAAACCCCCATTATAAAACCCCAAAGAAAAATCTTGAAGGAACCAGCAGAGAATTAGTCTTCTAGGTTCTGACGTCGTACCTACACCACTCTCTTTAGTAATAATATAGCATAATGAGAATCCTCTCCGGTTCAAAATGACTGGAGCACAACATAAGGGTTAAGAAATGTACCAAAAGACAAAAATAAAGATATTACCTGCCGTGTTGTTTGCCATTTCAGAAGTATTTAGTAGAGCTGCTTGTGCTGTTGATTTTGACACATTTATTAGCGTGCAGTGCTAACAGGCCTGAAGCTCTTCACTGACCTGTTCTCCATAACACTTAGCAGTAGCCAGCAGCATCGGCGGCACAGATAAAAGGCATAGTCTGGATAACCGCCTGTACCTTTTAGTCCAGTAACTGAGCTGTTTATAAACTTTCTACTAATATCTACTGGCAGCATTTTCTGTACTCCTATTAACATTCAAAAGGAATCTTATAATAGTGCTTAGTGTATATTGCTTAATATAAGGAAGACAGGAAAACGTGTACACTGAGTATCCATGTTTACTTTTGTATTCAACTGCATGCCAGGGAGTAAATTAATTCAGACAGGAGAACAAATGCTGGAAAAGCATTCTTTCAAAAGGCAAAAATAAAGAAAGAAAGAAACAAAGAAAGAAAAAGAGGTGGATTGAAAATGTTATCCCTACAGAAATGGAAATTAATTTAATTCTTAGATCCTTTAGGTTTTCAATAAACAGACAAGTGAAAACCTGTCTGCAGTGGGATTTGGGATTAAAGACACCCTAATGGAGTGGTTGCTTCAAGCAGGAAGAAAATGTTGACTCCAGGTTTATCTTCAATAAGAGACCACAGCCGCACATCACTGAGATGATACTGAAAGGAGCAGCTGAGGTGAAGATCTGTGAAAGGGCACTTTGTCTAAACAATTTATTTTATGGATTTAACCTCACTGCACTGATGCTTGAAGACAAAGCAGATTCTGCTGAAGTTACTCATTGCACATGTGTTGAAACTAACTAGACTAATTTGTCTGGTGAAAAACTTGCTGCCACAGTGTTGGAATGTTTCACTGTACGGTGCTGTAAAGAAATCACATCTCCTGATATTCTGGAGATAAGAGCTGGGGCTTGGGGTGGTGGTGTGGATTGCTAGAAGTTTGTGTTCAGGTGGTTGTTAGGCTGTTGACAGGTGGTTGCTGTGCAATAAGTGCATCGCTAGGGTGTTAGTGGTTGTTAGTGTGACATGTGCTTTGTGTAGATTCCTTGTGTTTAGGTGTGTTCCACTTAAAGCGGTGCTGCGCAGATCGATTGGTATATGACATCAAATTATCGCGAGAGCAATTAGACAGCAGACTTCTCCTAATGCTTTTGAATCACTCTCGCGGTACTTTGATGTCATACACCGATCGGTCTGTCAAGTCGACTTTTATGTTCCCTGTGTGAGCTTTGCCCGTTTGCTGTGTGCCTTGTTTTTCTCCATAGTTACCCTCATTGGTTCCCTTGGTTACTCATTGACCACACCCTTACCTTGTTTGTGCCCATAGTTACTCATTGGTTCCTTTTTTCTCCTGTGGTATATATAGCCCCTGTGTTTCTCTTGTGCTTTGTCAGTTGATGAAAGTAATGGTTATTTGGCTTGCTGGGTATTGATAGGTAAGGCATTACTAGCGCTGTGTCTCAATTCGCCTAATGTCCTAAAAGTATTAACTGTTTTTGTGAAAAAGTACATACTTTTGAGTGTGTAGCAGAAGAGTAGGCAAGTTTTAGGACATGCTGCTTCGTCATAATTAAGTCTTTAACGGACCAATCTGTTGCTTAGTTACGTGCATCCTGTCACCATTTAAACTGCCCCTTCAATCATCCTGTCACATATTCACATCATTCACATTTCGGTTTCATGTAATTTCCTACCATACTGGAGAGAACTGAAAAGGCAAGTTGATCTGCCAGTCACGTGTATTTCATCCCGAGAACGCTCCTCATGTGTTTGCATAATGATACTTTTACAAATTAATGACCAAACGTATCTTTATAAAAGTTCACAATGTTGTTGCAGATGAAATATAATGTGGATAACACTAAATACATATTTTTTCATCAGGCTGGATACTGATTATTTATCACTCAAACCCTTTATCTCCCTGTCCATCACTTGCGTATCTGCCATGTTAGTAGTTTTTTCATACTTTTTATTCATGTTTGTAGTTCTAATCAAATCGCGCAATGTGTTGTGGGCAATATTTGCCGGTAGAGTGTGTACGGATCTGCACTTCAAATTTCTACCGGAAACAGTAAACCATCCAGGTACCTTTGGAATACTCATTTCAACATACTACAATATGGGACATACTAATTCTAATTTTGAATACTATTTAGGGCAGATAGTATGCGAATTGGGACACAGCATAGGAGTTTGTTTTTGGTGTTTCTATGGTGTTTGTGGTTATTAGCATAGATATATATAGTAAGTAGATGGGCATCTACCTCTACATATCTATGGTTATTAGGGCATAGGGCTTTGTTAGTGTGTTCAAGTGGTTGCTAGGCCATCAATAGGCGCTTGGTATGCAATTACTAGCACATTGCTGGGGGTTTTGTAGTGTGTTTGGGGTGGTAGCTATAGGGCGTTTCTAGGCTGTTTGTGATTATGATATTGCTAAGGGTTTTTTAGTGCGTTTTGAGTGGTTGCTAGGACATTTCATGGTTATTAGGGCATCGCAAGGGGTTTGATAGTGTGATCTTGGCTGCCAGGCTATTGATTGGTGATTGTTAGGACTTTGGTAGTGTGTTTTGGCTGGTTGGTAGGGCTTTGGTGGATATTAGGACATTGCTAGGGGTTTGCTAATGTATTTTGGGTGTTTTCTTGGTAATTTATAAACAGTGGCTAGTGTAACCCCTCGTTTATACTTTCCCCACTCTAATCGGGATTCAAATCTGCATTTCTGGCATAGGACACTAAACAAGGACACTAAAGACGGCAGCCTCTTGAGATCAGGACAGTGAGGTTTACCTGCACAGCTATTACTAACTGGCCTCCGTTACACTCACCCCCCTAAGCCTCACTCCCATCTGGGTTACATCACCAATGTAACCCCTCCGGTTCTACTTGCCCCGCTCAGAGCAGAATTCGAACCGGCGTTTTCAGCATGAGGAGGAGGGCATGCTAACAAGGAAGATAAAGACTACTGCCTCTAACGTCAGTCACTAGTGCACCTTTTGAGATCAGAGGAGTGAGGTGAGGCACAGCCCTTAATAGCTGGCTTCCATAACACTAGTGTCACTAGGGTGTTGTTAGGCAACGTCCCTAGATATTTATTTTCAATGGAAGTGGAAACAATGTCATTAGTAAGCACCTCTAATAAGACCTTCTTATATTTTCTTTTCCTCAGCTGTATTTGCAGTGGCATTCTCTGTGGTGCTGTGCTCCCTGCAGGGCTCTTGGGACTGATGAAGGGGTATTAGCATAATTAGCTAAATGTTAGCTGCTAGTCGGAATGATGGTCCCCCGGTTTGGCCGACCAACAACACCAGTCTCATCCAGGCCAAAGGAAGGATGAGACAATCTGGGGGAGATGTCGGGGGAGGGGAAGAAGGGGAAAGGAGGGTTGCATATGGAAGAGCTATGAAGGAATTGCTGGAAAGACACTAAAAACAGATAGAAAGCGAACGAGCAAGGAGAACAGTGATAAGGAGTGAGTGATTAGAGCGATTAGATGAAGTCAGAGATAGAGAGAGAGATTAAGACAATCAACAAGGGAGAGGTCATCTGTACTCCGAATATCTGGAATTGGTTTTGGGTCTGGAATGTCAGAATAAAGTGTGGATATGGAATGCCTCTGTTTGTACAGAGCTTGAGGGTTCGTGTAAATGTGTATGAGTGTTTGTTTGTCAGCTTGGGTTTTGGTTCAAAATCCCACAGGGATGCAGTAATCCGCACATGGCTCCGAGATTTGAGTCTCTAAGCAAAGCTTTTTTCTCTATTTATAAATCTCTTAATCTGCACAAAGGGCCCTGTGAGACACACACAAACCGGAGCAGACATGTGTGTGATTCTGTGTATGTGTAATACAAGTTTGTGAACAGAGCTGTGTGTTAGCTCTACATACACACGCAGGGCATTTGTGGTACACGCCACCTGGATTCAATAAGAAATGAGGGTCATTTGAGTCACAGGTCCTGCTCAAAAGAGGGATCAATAATTTTGTGTGTGAGCTTCCACTTGATGAAGCTGATACATAAAAGCAGAATCAAGGTGACCTTAAGAGGGACCTTGACCTTTTGACCTGACCTAAAGCATTAAAGTGAGGAGCAATCTGAAGCCATAATTTATAAAATTACTGAACTTTCAGAGATGCAGGTAAAAACATATTTACTGGACCTACAATTCTGTTGAAATTAATTAATTAAAGGGGTCATATGATGCTAAAAATAATATTATTTTGTGTATTTGGTGTAATGAAATGTGTTTATGCAGTTTAAAGTTTAAAAAACACATTATTTTCCACATACTGTACATTATTGTTTCTCCTCTATGCCCCGCCTTTTTGAAACGTGTCGATTTTTACAAAGCTCATCGGTCTGAAAAAGCGAGGTGTGCTGTGATTGGCCAGCTATCCATTACACACGAGGCATTTGTTGCATCCAGTGGGGACATAATTACTGATTATAATGACTTAAACTGTCTTTTTATGCGTTGCGTTGCATTGCATTGTGCCGCGTAAACATAAAACTCTGTCTGCATTTGTGATCGGAGAAATGACAAACAACAAGTGCTACTCTACACTGCACAAAACTCGCGTTTGAATCATCAGTGGCAAATCCTTCAAATGAAAACTTACTTATGTAAGTCAGAACTGCCGGCATTGTAGTCTAACGTTACTCTCCCAGGATCAGTAAACAGTCCTCCATAAAATGTGCTGCACACATCTGGATATTTGGGAACAGTGTTGTAAATACAACTTAACCACTGATTTGTAGTCGTGTCCTCTTTTGGAAGACCAAACAAAGTAGTTTCGCTTTCACAACGAAAAACACAGCGGCCTAGCGTGAGGGGAAGCCCCGGCTTAGCGTGCGCTGAGGCGGCGGGGTCGAGAACGGCGCGCCGTGCGGATCCGACGAATGAGCGGCAACCACATTTACACTAAAACAGAGCCGTTTTAGGTAGGCGTGGCTGACTCTGAACTTTTATAAAGAATATCTCTTTGGATTTGAGACTTTAGTCTTTGCAACTTTACAGATCTTCTTTATGCACCAAGAGCTTGTAACACTCCAAAGAGAAAGGAAAAATTGAAATCGCATCATATGACCCCTTTAATGTTTTGTATTTTATATTTAAAATTTTGACAGCATCTGTTCTATTGAAGTTTCTATTGAAGTCTGTTCTATTGAGGTTATATTGTGTTATATCAAGTCACATTGTGTGATATAAAGCCACAATTATGGTATTTTCACAATTATAAAAATATATAGACATAATTATGAGAAATACGTCTACAATTCCAAGAAATAAAGACATAATTATGAAAAAAATAAAGTTGCAAGATATATAATCACAATTGCAAGATATAAAAGGGGCAAATATGAGAAATAAATTCACAGTTACCAGAAATTGTGTTACAATTGCAAGAAATACATTTACGATTACAAAAAATATATTCAAAATTACGAAAAATAAAGTTGCAAATGGGTCATTCCATGTCAACTCAACCAGAGGTCCCCGGCTCAAATTTTTGATTTTGCTAATATTTTTTTCTGAAGAAAGATAAACGTGTATAGTGATGAAAGCCAAAATATTAAATGTCATGGATGAATATTTACTGAGTAATATTGTTATTATTAAAATGAAGAAGGCCTTAAAAATGAAGATACTAAAAGGGAAGTTTGTTAAGACTGAATATCTAAAAAAGGCATTATCTTTAATAATTTTTGAGTTACAGGCCTGCAAACTTTGGAGAAAACTTTGTTTTCCCCATTTTTGAATGGTCACCACTGGCACATAATACAACAAAGATTGCTGAAGTCAACAGATTTTGCTAAAAGACCTACCAATCTCTGTGTAAAAATAACATAAGAATGCTGTCATCTTTCTGAAGTCATTTTTAACCCCCTGTAAATTGTCTCTGGTGAAAATTTCCATTTCGACCCCCCCTCTACAAAATAGTGGATTATTTATCCATGACATTTAATATTTTGGCTATCATCACTATTCATGTTTATCTTTATTCAGAAAAAATATAAGCAAAGTCAAAAATTTGAGCCGGAGACCTCTGGTTGAGTTGACACAATGACCCACTTGTAAGATACAGTCACAATTATGAAAAATATTGATGCAATATTGTTGCGAGATATAGTCATATTGCGATATACTGTATAAAATCACATTATGAGATTAAAGATATAAAGGTGCAATTATGAGAAACAAATTCATGATTATGAGAAATATATTTACAATGACAAGAAATAAAGTCACAGCCGTAAGAGACATATAAATTCGCAATAATGGGGCATAATCATTATTGCAATCTTAGCTACTTGTTCTGGTATTTTCCGCACATGTGATATGCATTTTCTTGCAAATCAGTTCTGTAAAGAACATAATTGTAAATTTAAATGTAATAGAGGGTGACGCTTTGTCCATGGCTCATTGGAAGTGTTGCCAGTGGGCTGGGTTTCTCTGTCAGTTTGCTAAGCCTGAACGAGCTGTTGCATTTTTTTTCTCCCCCAGACTAAGATCAGGACACATTTTGATCATTCTAGGCTAAAAATAGCCTTTTTTCCCAACCCTTTGCGCATATTAGCTTATGCTATCAGCTCAATATGCGATTTGACTGTCTGACTGAACAGATTACTCATTTTATATAACCATGTCAGAAGTAGTGAGATCAGTCTCATTGTCTAAGTAAAGAACAAGAAGTAATATGCAAGCTTTTATTCACGCATACATATACACATATGCTATGCTCATAAATGGTGCAAAAACAGTCATGCCCTACTCGCTTGTAGCTTTCGATGCTTCAACTAAGTTGTCAGTTCTAAAATGTGTTTTCACAATCATCCAGTTTTCACGAACATCATCTTGCTTTTCTCTGTCTATCAATTCTCCGCCACACAGAAAGCTGGCAAACATCTTGACCTTGTGTTTACTAGAAGCTGCCCCTCCCCTCCAGTCACTCACTGTGACCCTTCTTCATCTCGGCAATGTTTTATCTCAGTCCCACACTCTCTCCCACTCACCACCTGCCCTTTTCTTCCAGAGCCGTGAGAGAATTTCACATGCTCTATTCATTTCTGTGACCATAGCCTCACTTCTCTCTTATGACTGTGTAGGATTATGGTTTATACAAGGCCTATGGATTGTTACTGCCTTAGTTCTTCCAAAGACTTACTTGTTCACTCAAATGTAAGTATTTTCTGTCTCTATGTTAAGAACAAAGTGGTAATGAGAGACTCGTTAGAATGCATGTGCTAACACCCCAAAAAGCATCACAGTATGAACTTAAAAGAACAGACAATAAAGTGCAGAATTTCTGATAACCTGTACTGTAGAAACCTAGTTTGAAAAATAGGTTATATACTTCCATTTATTTCAAATAGTACTATAAAAAAAGTATAATTATTATTATTTTTTTTTTTATTTACATGTAATTTAAATTTAAATGTTTTTTTTTGCCCAAACTGCACACACAAAATATATATATAGTAGTAAAATGTAGTATAGTTTGGTTTCTATTTCTGCTGTGGGCCAATCCCATTCACATGGAATGCTCATTCGATCGAATTAGTGCTCCTCTTGTATATTAAACATCAAAAATGTACAGAGAGAGACTAACTGGTGAAGTTTAGAACCAGAAATGATCTGATATGTGACAAATCCCACAAAAAAGTCTATTAAAAGCATCCAATCTTGTGAAGCATTACAGAATATGTGAAAACACAAGGTATGGGTTCTTAGGTTTGTGCTCATCAGTGAGTTTGAGAGAGAGAAATGCTCAGATTGGCTATGTTTGTGCTTGATTGTTGGGTCATCCTCCATTTTGACTTTCTCAATGTGGATAGACAAACTTCTTGTCACGTTGTGTCTGATTAGGTTTCGATTTCTCCCATTTAATAGTTCTAAATGTTTGATCTCTTCGTTCTACTCTCTCTGGTATTACCCTTAACATTCAATATCAGTATGAAATATAGAATATTGGCAATATCTTGTGCTACTTTGATTTTACTGTGTCTATACTTGTTCAATATTTTAAGTTTTTCTGGTTTGATATTTTGTTGAATTATTATTTGTACTATCCCGCCACTTCTTAATAGATTTAGTGCTTTTATCTTTGACACTGAAAAAAAGAGCCTTAGTAAAACTTCATCAGGATGGCATCACTGAAAAGGGGTAACTGAGAAATTTGTTCAATTTCCAGGCTGACAAAAAACTGCATGTTTCACCAACCCCAAGCTGATAACCATGCACAGTAAAGTGTTGAGACTCCCTCCTGCTATAATACAGAAGCCACATGCACCAGACTGCCCTTGGTGAAAGCCAAACCAAAAAAAGCTCAATTTCAGTGCAACAGTAAGTGCTAATAATTCCAAATATTCTAAATCTATTCCATTATGCCCATTTTGTTACTCCCTACACAGCAAATATTCTTAAAGCATAAATTGTCTTTCTCAAAAGTACATTAATACATTATACCTTAATAGACTTATTGATTTAATGAACACATCGGCCAACTGACGTCTGTACTTGGAAATTTAAGGATGTATTAATAATTTATATCCAGGTTTAAACAACACTGCATGCTGTCAGGCTGAAATGAGGGCAATAATTTATACTAAAAATGGTCTCTTTTATATTTAGTCGTGTTCAGGCATGGTGAGAGAAGTAGGTGGTTCCCCTCAAGAAGATTGATGGAGTTGACATACTCCCACCCCCTCACAGGACAACTTAAAGCTTGCAACGCTGTAGCCAAAGATTGCAGTGGTGAGGACTAGAAGCTACAGTAAGACAATTTCCGCACACCCTTGGTTGCACTACTCGTCATTCATGTGCCCTTCCAGTGTACTAGGATGGATCCATGTAGGTCTGCAATTAAAGTATACCCAGGGTTATGAATATACCATGGTTCTCCTTGATTATGCCACCCTCAATCCAGAACTAATTCCTCTCCGGAAGCAACTTCTAAAAATACTGCAAAGGACCAGAGCCTGAAGGGGATGCTGTCAAAGGTGATGGCATTCGTAAGTGGAATCTCATGATCCTTTATGTCCTACTTGGCATTAAAATGATATGGCCCAGATTGCCAGCTTCTCTTTTGTTGCTACTATTACGAAATCCCTCTCTAGGACCATCAACTACTTATTCAAACAACTTGGTGATATAATAAATAAAAATAAAAATAAAAACAAAAACGGGTTCAGCTACCCAACATTCCCTGACAAAAGGGAAATATCAAGACTGTCCAATAGCTGCCATTTCTTCAAATATCTGTATGACAATTTCAGTATCAAAAAGTGGATCATACTTTACCTCCAAAGTGCCAAGGGGGCACCAGTTTTCTGAATGTGTGGAAACTGTTCTTGCTTACTGTACTCTTCTCATCCACAATTCCCCTATCACATTCACTCAGATCAGGGTACACACTTTACTGCCATTGTTTTTGGAAGGCATTTTAAGCTAATGGACACTGGTCGTTCCTTTCAGGTCAAGTAGAATGAATGGTCATTAAATAGAAACTGAAAAAAATTAAATAAAATAAATACCACAAGGAGGGTATTCCTCGACCTTCTACCAATCAACAGTTTAAATTTGTGGGCACCATGAAAAAAAACCTTAAGGGCAGATTATGGGAAGGGGTCAGTATATGGCTGGTCTGCTGGTTTTACTGTGTTTGCAGCATGGAGAATGTTATCCTTTTGCATTTCCAACGACAATTCCAATGCTTCCCACTCTCAACTTTACTCACAGACAATAAGTTCTTGACCTTTTTTTTGAGCCAACCACTTGAGCCATGAATGAAATGTGACTAATCACATGATTGGCTAAAGAAATTGTTTCTGGAACTGAGATGAATGCTAACGGATATCTCTCTCCAGGTTTCCTAGACCTCCTTAGATGAGGGTAACCTCAAGAGCACAGGAATGATGGTGACAGCCTTGATGCCTGAGGGAACAGTTGTCCAAGACAGATGTTAAAGATACCCATGAGGACATCAGTCATTTTGGCCTTACATTTCTTTAGCTAAACCTGAAAGCTAAGCTACTACTAAGTAGGGACATCTGCAATTAGCCAAAGCCTCTAAATTGGTGAAGCATTACTGAGATTGCGAGTAGAGGTTAAGGCTCAGGCCTGGTAACAGGAAGGTTACTGGTTTGAGTCCTATTAGAAGTGCGCCATGAGTCATCACAATTGTGCCCTTGAACAAGACACTTAACCCCAAGTTGCTCCAGAGGGACTGTCTCTGTAATATGTTGTGCTATTTTATGGTCACAGAACATGACAGTAATGGAAATAAATTCCACTGCTCCTGGTTTTGCAGTGATAAATAAAGATCCTATTTGATTAATTCTTTCTAAATGATGCCCTTGTGGCTGGATAACCACAATGCATGTGACACACAGCCTCAGAGAGGTGTTTAATTTAAACAAAAATAACATAAAACATTAAATAAGAAAAATAAAATGTCCAGAGAGAATCCCCTAACGCTCACTTTTAGGACCTGCAAGCACACATACAGTACCCTGATGGACTTTAGGAACATGTGTTGACCTCGTCCTGAACTAAACTACACCCTTCGCTGTACTCCCCAACCTTAAATCTTATATATTCCCCATGGATACTTTACTTTTATTCTAGATTTTATGGTTATTTTATTTTAAATAAGAAGCCTCTCTTAAGCCTGACACTGCATCTGTATTTTTTTCTCAGCCAGCCACAGCGTTCTAAAAATCATTAAATTTCACAGCACTTCAGACCTAGATTCAGAGTTCCCACACCATATTAACAATGAATTTTCATGATTTTGCCATTATTTTTCAGCTGCTTATAATGACTTGGCAACGATTTTTTGAAGCTGGCATAAAATGGAAATTGTACACAACTGCATATCAGGGTCGTAGTAGCTAGTGGGGAGAAAGGTGGTGATGATTTTAGGGGCCCACTGCTGTTGGGGGCCAGCGTGAAAGACGCTTGGGACAGTTGACTGACTGCCCGATCGGTCACTGCTGCATGTCGTCACGAAAGTTTATCATTTGCACTTGTTTTAAATTATTGCCAGTTTAAACATTCAAGTGATTTTAAAGTATTCAAGCACAAGAAGACATGAAATAACTCAATTCAGTACTCGCACGCTGTGTTCTGCGTGCATCGCGGGCACAGAGAGAGGCGCGTTTCTGACAAAGTGCAAGTCCAGAATTGAGTTCTATTTCACATCTTCTTACTCTTGAATGGACAAATAGACCTTGCCAATTTGAACATTAAAGTGGTTCAAGCGTAAGCAACAAGATGAAAGAACTTCAGTGAATGATAAAATAATTCAGTTCTTGTGCGCCGTGTTCTGTGCGCACAGCCTGCGAACACTGAATGGAGTTCTCTTTTGTGTCTTTTTGTGCTTGAATGGATACTCACCCGTCTTGGTGAGTATCCTCAAAAATGTTTGGTTATGTCTTAAAGAGGGCCTCTTTTTACCTTGTCAAAAACAGCTCTGTTGACAGCAACCCATTTCGGTGCATGTCTCTTTAAATCTAATGAGCTCTGCTCACCCCAAAGGCGATTTGCAAATAATCATAAGAAATATAAAGTGTGGGACTTACTTCTTCTGGAGGTGCAGCTGGATCATGAACAGTAGGTACTGATCCATCCTTGAGTTTTAACTTTTTAGCAAAACCTGCTTTGAATTGTCCCTCGTTCAGAAAGCAGTCCGGAGTAAAATGATTTGCACAGACATAAACGCATTTAGGTAGATCGGGAGGCGCATTCCCTTAAAAAAAAAAGTAATCCACTGCGTCTTCAGCGGCTCAGATGTCGGGAGTAAATAACAACTGCTATGTTCATTATTACATCCAACAACAAAACACCTTAATCGCTTAGGAGCCATTCTTGTCAACACCTGCTAGCACGGCATCGAAACAATGGTGAACTGTTTACAGCTCACTCAGGGCGGGTCTATGCTAAAACAGCAGTGTCCGTCAACAGTCGTGGGAGGGACCTGTGCACAGTGACGTCACTTTTTCCCCCATGATTCAGATTCTGTGAACTGCTTGATCTGAGAAAGTGCTTATGATTTGTGGGAATAAAAAAAAAAGCACTGGGTAAACAGTTAAGAAAGATGTGTGTCTTTGGATCCATGCGTTGTGTCTTAAAGTGACCTTGCCTAATTAAATAACTGCTGTTGGGTGTCCTTAATGTTAATCCAAGGAAAAAAAAGAGAAAATCACTCACTGTTCTCGATTTAATTAAATTTAATAGCTTTAACAAGGATTAGTCTATATTTAATTATTACAGTTATATACAATTAAACTATTCAATGCTATTTTACATTTGTTTATTCAATTTCTGTACCAGAACACTGACAAAACAGAAAACAATTTTTTTTAAAGCATTGTTTAATTTCAATCTTTGTTCTATTTATTTATTTATTTGTGCTAGTCTAATTACACAATTTCAAATAGGACCCACGGGTACAACCTGCACCGAGGCCTCGCATACCTCAGCTACGGCCCTGCTGCATATCCATATTGTGACGTATATCCGAGTGAAACAGATTATCAGAAAAGAACAAGAACAAGAAGGGACTTTATTTTATCCATCGGGTATCAACAGTCGTGGGAGGGACCTGTGCACAGTGACGTCACTTTTTCCCCCATGATTCAGATTCTGTGAACGGCTTGATCTGAGAAAGTGCTTATGATTTGTGGGAATAAAAAAAAAAAGCACTGGGTAAACAGTTAAGAAAGATGTGTGTCTTTGGATCCATGCGTTGTGTCTTAAAGTGACCTTGCCTAATTAAATAACTGCTGTTGGGTGTCCTTAATGTTAATCCAAGAAAAAAAAAGAGAAAATCACTCACTGTTCTCGATTTAATTAAATTTAATAGCTTTAACAAGGATTAGTCTATATTTAATTATTACAGTTATATACAATTAAACTATTCAATGCTATTTTACATTTGTTTATTCAATTTCTGTACCAGAACACTGACAAAACAGAAAACAATTTTTTTTAAAGCATTGTTTAATTTCAATCTTTGTTCTATTTATTTATTTATTTGTGCTAGTCTAATTACACAATTTCAAATAGGACCCACGGGTACAACCTGCACCGAGGCCTTGCATACCTCAGCTACGGCCCTGCTGCATATCCATATTGTGACGTATGTCCGAGTGAAACAGATTATCAGAAAAGAACAAGAACAAGAAGGGACTTTATTTTATCCATCGGGTATTGATTGGAGTCTTAAAAGTCATCCATATCACGCCATACGTCTCTCCCACTAGTGTCCTCCTCCTCTCCATTTCTATTCTCCTGCTCCCTCACCCTGCATTGCTCCATCCCTGTCCTCTGACAAGCCCAGACTGGGGAGACGCTCAGATTGGTGTGAAATCGATATTTAATGGGACCATGCATGTATGTTTGTGTAGGATTGATGTGTGTCTCAGAGGATTTTAGAGGCTAAGCGTATGTCAGGGGAGATATTTATTGTGCGTACGTCGTTAAGCTCAGATTGGTGTGAAATTGTGGTTTAATGGACAGGAAATGGTGTGTGTTATTTTTGGAGCAGACCTCTCTCATCGCCTAAGAAACTAATGAGCCACAGTCTCTCCAGGAGACCAAATGCACACACACCAACAGCGATCGGTTACACACACACCTCAAAACTACACACTCATTTATCATTTATGAACACAGACGTACAGCCCCCTCCCCTTACCCATCTCGCACATATAAAAACCAAAACAGCATTTTAGTAAGTGTCAGTCTGTGAAGACAGATTCAATTTCTTATACGCAAATGTGCATTCTTTTGCACATTTGTAAGTCAAATAAGTCAAGCGATTCACTCGGCATTATTCCACAGTCCTGTGTTAGCATGCAAAGATGAATTTGTATACAGGACACCAAAGTTGGACCAAGAGTAAAAAAGAATGTAGCTTTTCTGCTGCTTGGTTGTATAAGTCATGACAGTGAAAGAAAGAGAGGGAGAGAAAGATTTCCAGCTGGACCATAGAATCTGGCATCGTACTAGACAGAATCAAGGTGACCCGATGCCACAGGGTGCATGCACTCAAGCAGACACACACACACAAGAGTCACTCAAACTTGTCTATTGACTTTGATAAAAAAAATATATATACATACATACATACATATGCCAACCACTGGCTAAAAAGGCACTATTTAACCAGTAATCTCTGACCAATTTTGCAGTCAACCTTCATATCGATCAAAACACAAACTAGGGCTGTGCGAAACAAAATAAAATCGCAATATGGTTCCCCTTCAAGAACTCGAGCTGCGTCGAGATTCGCTTTGGGAATGCCCCTGCGTGACCGCGTTCTGAAGCACGTGTCCAATCCGTCCAATGGAGCAGCGAGACGTCACCAGCGGGGTGACGTAAGCACCAGAAAGCATAAAAGCGCATCCGGCCGGGCGCCACCCAGCTTCTGCCCTTCAGTAGCGCTCTGTGTATGTGTCTGTCTATTTACTGTTGTCTGTCCCGGAAAAAAAGCACAAGCACTCATATATGTATATAAACAATGAAAAAGTCTCTGGCGAGTGAACGGCAGTACAAATGCTGTGTTCCTCCCTGCCCACGATATCTGACGGCAGGGGATACACACGATTTGTGTGTCGTTTGTTTGGGAGCGGAGCATGCACAGTCAGCTCTCGAGGGGGCTGGTTGTCATGATTGCGAGCTGCTCTCGCTGCGCACGCTCCGCTCTCGCCTGGCCGTGTTTGATGCGAGCGGCCAGGCTCGCGATCCCGCTGGCAGCGGTCCCGCTACAAGCGTTTCCTGAAAGCGAGGTCACAGCCTTCCCGACGGGGCCTTCCATTTTTTCCCGATCTCCATGCCAAGGTGTCAAGATCATGGGAAAGACTGTATTCTTCCCGTATATATAGCCCCACAGTCTCTAATTATTCTAATATCGTGGGGCTGAATGAGAAGGGATATGGGGCGATGCCAATGGTGGAGCAGACGCTCGCGAGCTGTCTCTCCCCATCCTCAGCATTGTCCCTGAAGGCTCCGAAGCTTCCCACCAGGCCTGTTAAGCTGACATCTAGTCTGGTTGGGAAAGCTTATACGGCAGCAGGTCAGGCTGGCGCATGCTTGCACACCATGG